TTTCTAGTCTTTTTAATTTGTATTGTACGATGTCTTTTTATGCTGCTGCAACGCAAACATTTCCCAACTTGGGATCAATGAAGTACTTCTTACCTTATCTAACACTACAGCAGAGGATCAGAGACACACTTCCTTTCAGATCCGACCATAAGCGTTTCTCAAAATAATTTTTGGAGAAAATCTCCAAATGTTTACTTTTTGGGGGAAATCGCAGAATTGTGACTTTTTTCCAAAATCCCGAAATTCAGATTTTCTTTCTAAAAATCTCGAAATGTTTACCTTTTCACAAAATTCTCACTTTGCCCCAAATTCTCAAAATTCTGACTTTTTCCACACATTTCTGAGTGTTTCCCAATACTCAAAATGTTGACTTGAAAAAATCGAGAAATTCAAACTTTTTTCTAAAAATCACAAAATTCGGAATTTTGCTCAAAATCCTCAAAGGATATTTTCAGAAAAAGTCAAAACATGTTTTTACTTTTTTCTCAAAATCAAAGACTTCTGATTGTTTTTCTCAGAATTCAGATTTGTTGGTGTGTGTGTGTGTGTGTGTGTGTGTGTGTGTGTGTGTGTGTGTGTGTGTGTGTGTGTGTGTGTGTGTGTGTGTGTGACCCCTCAGGTGAGACGGCCAGCCTGGTGCTCCAGTCGTCCCTGCAGCCCCTCCCCTCCCCCGCCCCCCTGCTGGTTGCCGTGGTGATGCGTGACGGAGCGTCCGGCCTCACACACACTGGCACGGTGACGCTCACTGTGTGTCCCTGCCTGCGGGGGGGCATGCACCTGGAGGAGGGGGGGAGAGGGGGGGAGAGTGTGTGCCTCCCCCTGAACTCCCCCTCCCCCTCCCTCATCTTCAGCCTCGTCACCTTCCTCTCCATGCTGGCCTGCGTCACCACGCTGCTCGGTACGTACTGTTCATCCAGACCAGGGGGGGGCAAACTACGGCCCGGGGGCCAAACTACGGCCCGGGGGCCAAACTACGGCCCGGGGGCCAAACTACGGCCCGGGGGCCATTTTGAATCGGCCCTCACTCAGCAAATTAAAAAAGTATAATGACTCAAGTATAATAAACTTCTGCTTGTCTTATATTGTACTTCTTAAACATAATAAGCCCAATTTTCTAATAAATTCAGTCAATTCAAGAAAACATGTTCTAAGAAATCTAAGCCCAATAACTTATTTCCATAACAACAATATACCTCCATATCTCCTCTCATGATCAACCTGAAGCTCCTGTGTTCAGCAATGAGCTGCCGACACAACAAAGCCAACCTCTGGAGAGATGTTCATTTCTTAAATCATTTTCAAGTATCAAGAATAATTGACCTACTTGGATTGACTCTTCCAACTTATAACTGAACTCATGAGGTAATAAAGCTCTCCTCCAGTGAGGGGCCCGGCCCTTAGTGTGTCTTTCTGTCTGCGGCCCTCTGTGAAAAACGTTTGGACATCCTGATCGAGACAAAACCAGAGACACATTAGATTCCTTTTATTGGCACTACAGAGTTCAGCGAGCATTCTGCAGCTGCCCCCCCCCCCCCCTGACAGTAATGCTGTCATGTTGTGCGTGTGTGTCAGAGGCTATGTGTGTGTGTGTGTGTGTGTGTGTGTGTGTGTGTGTGTGTGTGTGTGTGTGTGTGTGTGTGTGTGTGTGTGTGTGTGTGTGTGTGTGTGTGTGTGTGTGTGTGTGTGTGTGCAGCTGGTCATGTGTGTGTGTTCTGCCCCCAGTGGTGTGTGCGCTCTCGATGTCGCTGCGCCATCAGAAGCGAGAGCCGCTCTCCGCCTTCGAGGAGGACGACGTCAGGGAGAACATCATCTCGTACGATGACGAGGGGGGGGGCGAGGCGGACACGGCGGCCTTCGACATCACGGCGCTGCAGAGCCTGCAGAGGGTGCACAGCATGTGAGCCCCCCCCCTCCCTCCCTCAGATATTAACATATGAGATCAAATGGGTTTTTTTTTTATTGTTTTTTTTATTATAATTTCTATTTTTGTATCTTTAGCATATTTTGTTTTGCTACTTGCATGAAGCTGTCTGTGGCTCTTTCCTGCTGTAACAACATACATCTCCCCTCTGTGGGACGAATAAAGGTTCTGATTCTGATATTAAGATATAAAGTGTGCGTGGAGCGTTTTCAGACTTTCCAAAAATATAAAAATTCTGACTTTTTGCTGAAAATTCTCAAATGATATTTTCAGAAAAAGTTATTGTTTTTTTTCTTCTTCATGAAAATGTCAGACTTCTGACTTTGTGTGGCCCCCTTCAGATATTACATTATAAAGTGTGTGTCTGACTTTGTGCCCCCCCCCCCTCGCAGATGGTACACTCAGCCGAACCCTGCGAGGTCCCGGACGTACAGCTGGTCCCGCCCCCCCCGACCCAGCCTGCCCCGCCCCCAGAGGCCCGGCTCGGCCCCCATGTACGGCCGGCTCTGCCTCGGCCTCCACACCCTGCCAGTCCTCAGGGACCACCCGGGGGGGGGGCCACTGGAGGGGGGGCTCCCACAGCTGATCTCCGGGCTCAGCGGGGGCTTCCCGGGGGTCCAGAACCAGAGACCCTTCCAGTCCCTGATCTCTCCTGGGGGGGGCCTGGCTGGTTATGGATCAGAGAGGCTGCTGCAGAAGATCCCCGACATACGAGAGGGGGGGGGGGCTGCTGACCTTCAAGAGGAGCAGGAGCACACAAAGGTCAGAACACACTGAAGATGTGCAGAAATGATATGAAGCAGAGAGAGGCCAAACAGATCAGAGGCAAGTTCTTACTGTTTCCCAGAGGATGTGGTGTTTCTGTTGGTCCCTGAAGGCAGCATCTCCCTGGTTCTGTTGGTCCCTGAAGGCAGCATCACCCTGGTTCTGTTGGTCCCTGAAGGCAGCATCTCCCAGTCCAATGGGTTTTCATTTAGACACTTCATTCTCTTCAGCTTGAATTCACCACAGGGCATATTTCAGGATAAAAACCACATTGAGAAAGGGAGTATCTGGAGCATGCAGAGGTCAGAGTTCATACGAACAGATAGAATATGCAAAGAGCAAAGAAAGGCCATAAGGATTAGAGGCATGTGAATCATAATGTTTCCAAATATGCCTCTGATTCACCAGACCAAGATGAAAACAGTAAATAAATCAATCTGCAGAACAACCCTTACGAAGAGTTGGTGCTTAATGTAAACATGCAGAATGAGCTGTGACTGGTCGACCTTTTAGAAACCCAAAATAAACTGATGCAATGGGGAAAATATTTACAAGACTGAAATAAGTTTGTCCTCTCTGAGCCTCCGTACTTCTCTCCCTGCTCGCCTCTGACTCACCAAACAGTCGCCCAACCCAAGAAGCCCAAGACGCTACGAACAGACGCAGAATGTCATACAACGTGCTAACCACCTAAAAAGCTGAAACGCAGGGAAACATAAAACATGTATTGATTGCAAAACAAAACTCTTGATGCTTAATGTAAACACCTCTGCAGAATACATTTTAAGAATCAACATTACTAAAGAAAATATGAAAAAGGTCATAAAATTCAACGTGCTAATTCAACGTGCTAATTCAACGTGCTAATTCAACGTGCTAACCACCTGAAAAAGCTCTGCCACCTCTGCAGAAACTGTGACGTGTTCTTTAACCTGTTAAGCCCTGAGCCTGTTTTTCAGGTCTCAGGCTCGAAAATGACATTCCCAGAACAAATGACCATATCTTCCCTTCTAAAAGGGTTAAATTAATAATCTTTGTTCTCAAAGTAATGATAAACCTGTGAGTTGGATGTAGAAAAGTCAGAATCAATATAGATGTTTTTTATTTTAAAGAAAATTCAGATTTTACATCGTAAAAAACTGTAAATTATAGTGTCCGTCCAAAAATTCTTTTTTACTTATAGTGAAAACTACCCTTGGATGATGGGTTAGTAGACTAAAAGCTTTAGGAATCCAAAGTACAACATATAATAAGTACCCTGTATCAAGATTGATGCAAAACAAGTGAAATTTGACCTTTTTAGAGAGGTTTAGCAAAAAGAAACCACTTCTGGGGTCATTTGGGTGGATTTTCCATATCTCTGGCCCCCCTTGCTGGATTTTGATGGTTGACACCTCTTTCTGACCGTTAGAGCCAATAGAATCGAAGGGGGAGTCCCCCACACACACACGGTGTGAAGAGAAGAGGTGGGGGCTTCGCGCATGTAATTTTGCATCAGAGTGAACCTATCTCTAGCTTTGACATCTGGAAACGGAAAAGCAGTTTTAATGCTTATGGATTATCAGAAATCATTTCAAAGGGACACAGACACATTGGATTAACCTATGGATTAACTTCAGCAGCGTTTCTATCGTTTTAATGCCATTGAAGACCACTTTGGAGAGACTACAGAGCCAAGGTAACTTTGTTAGCATTTTTAGCTACCTAGCGTCACCTGTTTTGATGTCTGTTTTTGTTTATAACCTCGCAAATACGTATAATTCAGTAGTAATGAGGGTACCCATCGATTCTGTGTCACCTCACGATGTGAATCGATGTGTTGGATGTGGAGAAAAGATAAATAATAAGGTTTTGTGAGTGATTTTCGATGCAGTAAGGTGTTAGCATTTTTCGCTCGTTGCTAATTCAGAGGCTCAGTGTTAGCATTGTGGGTTTTCTTTTGAAAAAAAAAAAAAAAAATATCAGTTAGATGAGTTTCTTCCCGTTACATGGATATAAAACATTCATAGTTTATTAAATGAACATGCCCTCAGACACTGTTTCCTGCAAGATGTTGCTGCAGTGCCCCTGGTACCGGGGTCTCTCGGGCTTCACAGGTTAAAGAAACCCCAAACATCTCAAATCTAAACCTCTGAATAAGTTTGTCCTCTCTGAGCCTCCGTACTGTCCTCCCTGTATCTGACCCCCCCCTCTCTTGTTTACAGATGAATCCAGCAGAGTTGCCCCCCCCCTCCACTGTGACCCTCTGCAGCCTCATGGACTCCCTAAGCTCCGCCTCCTCTCAGCGGGGGGGCCGGCGGGGGTCCAATCAGACTCAGATCAGCACCGACTCCTCCATCCGCTCGGAGCCCCCCCCCTCCGCCCCCCAGCTGCAAAACGACTCCTACAGCATCGTGGGGTCGCTCAGCACCAGCCGGGGCGGAGCCTCTCTGGGGGGGGGGCAGGCAGTGGGAGCGACGCTACTGAGCATGTGCAGACCGAGGAAGGACCTCCTTCCACCTTTACCTGGGGAGGGAACGCCCCCCCCGCGGCCCCTCCCCATGGAGGAGCTCCTGAACATCCGGTTGGACCAGCTGACCTGCGACCCCTCACTGCCCCCCTTCGACTCCCTGCAGACCTATCAGTTCGAGGGGCGGGACTCCAGAGCCGAGAGCCTCAGCTCATTGGACAGCGACGGGGGGAATGGGGGGGCGGCAGAGGAGGGAGGGGGAGGCATGGAGGAGCTGAACCAAAAGTTTCTGAGGCTGGTGGAAATCATCCGGGAGAGAGAGGGGGAGACGGGGGGTGAGACGGGGGTTGAGAGAGAGTTTGAGACGGGGGGTGAGATGGGGGGTGAGACGGGGGGTGAGACGCCTCAGAAACTGAGTGAGGAGAAGGAGCCGCAGAGATGGGACTTCTAGAAACTCTCAGTGCTGCAGATCTACCGGGACATCTTTCAAGAGAGGGTACAAGGACTGAAACAAGACACTCTTAGAGGACACTCTATAGCCGCGTTCACACCGGAGTACTTTTCCCACAATAGTTCATCAGAACTCAGATATATTTGCGTTCACACCAAAAAGAGCCTGAACTAAATTAGTTCATCAGAACCTTTTCACCCCCTTTCCCGTCCCTGCTAGAGAGCAGGTACTTTCGTGGGAGAAAAAGGTTCCTCTGTCTGATTGGCTGGGCGGATTGCAAACCACGCCCCGTACAACTCCCAAAAAGTGTTGTGAAGCCGCCATTTTATTATCCTCGCATTAGCATTATTAGCATTAGCATTAGCCCAGCGCACAAACGCAGAGAGACTAACTTATGGCAACACAAAATAAAACATGGGAGCGGTGGAGATGAGGAGGTGTCGGCGTTCTGGCGATTTCCTCTGAAGGCTTCAGTAGAAGCTGCTGGGAGTCCCAGCAGCTTCTACTGAAGCCTTCCTCAACTCCGGGGACTTCAGGCCGGGGACTCCGGGTGGCAGTATACACCGTGAAGTGGTTTGCGGCCTGCCAGTAAACCCAAAGCAGAAGAAGAAGAAGTGACGTCAACGGCTTCATTTGCCTAATCCTTCCCCAGGAACTCATTGCGGTGTGAACGCGATCTGCTCTTTAGTTCATCAGAACTAAAAGAGTTCTGATGAACTATTGTGGGAAAAGAACTTGGTGTGAACGCCCCTTTTGAGGTGACTCTTTGAGGACACTCTCTGAGGACACTCTCTGAGGACACTCTCTGAGGACACTCTCTGAGGACACTCTCTGAGGACACTCTCTGAGGACACTCTTTGAGGACACTCTCTGAGGACACTCTCTGAGGACACTCTCTGAGGACACTCTCTGAGGACACTCTCTGAGGACACTCTTAGAGGACACTCTCTGAGGACACTCTTAGAGGACACTCTCTGAGGACACTCTTTGAGGACACTCTTTGAGGACACTCTCTGAGGACACTCTTTGAGGACACTCTCTGAGGACACTCTTTGAGGACACTCTTTGAGGACACTCTCTGAGGACACTCTTTGAGGACACTCTTTGAGGACACTCTCTGAGGACACTCTTTGAGGACACTCTTTGAGGACACTCTTTGAAGACACTCTTTGAGGACACTCTCTGAGGACACTCTTTGAAGACACTCTTAGAGGACACTCTCTGAGGACACTCTGAGGTCACTCTAAGAGGTCACCACTGATAATAATAATAATAATAATGCATTTTATTTATGGGCACCTTTCAAAGCTCTCAAGGACACCTTACAGAGCATAATTAAAACCAAGCAACAAGAAGATCACACAGTAATACAAGACTTCAAAAACAAAGACTTCAAAACAACAATCAGTTTAGCAGATTTAAGGTATTGAACACGCCAGTTTAAAAAGGTGTGTTTTCAGGCTTGAAGGTTGAGAGTGAGTCCATATTGCGGATGTCTTGTGGGAGAGAGTTCCAGAGACGGGGGGCAGAGTGGCTGAAGGCTCGTGACCCCATTTTTGGACCAGTTGGAGCTTACGCAGGGATTTGTGAGGAAGGAACTGATGGCTCTGAAATATCATTATTTTCACCATCCAATGAAAAGGATCTGCATCCATATCAACTGTTCACAGTCCAACAGTTTTCACCCCCACTGTGTTTGCATATGGATCTGTCACTCTTCACACTACAGTCATTAATAATGCACTCGGCTCTCACAGCTCACGTTATAAAAAATTCACTTTTTGAAATATGTATTCTGAGCCCTGAAAGCTGCATTGTTAGAAAATAGGCCTCGTGAAATATAGATCTGAACCGTGATATTTAATATTGATAGTTTAATAGGGCCACGCTTCTTACTATAGTCCTGCAGAGACTCCAGGAAGTAGTCAGCACCGCAGCAGCTCACTATGCAACATGGTCTCTGTCTAAAACTGTTTTCTGATGAAGAGTAAATGATATGCACATGTAGTCAGTCTCCTTCAGTTGCTGCTCATGAGTGGAACGTTTTTGGGGAAGGGTGGGGGAAATGACGGTGGCCGTCAGGTGCCAACGCGCTACAACGTCCTGAAACTATTCCATCTGCAGCTTCAGAAAGGATGCAGGTATAGAAACCCAAATGTTCCTCATGAGGAAACATCTTCAGAACAACACGTGCAGCTTTTAGAAAACATTCAGCAACTTGAGGAGACATGGCAGCGTTTACTGAAAGCTGCAGAAACCAAACGCTGAAGAAGCTCAAAACACAATGGAGACTAGGGGACACTAAAGAGTGACGCACACAGCTGGGAGACCAGGGGACACTAAAGAGTGACGCACACAGCTGGGAGACCAGGGGACACTAAAGAGTGACGCACATAGCTGGGAGACCAGGGGACACTAAAGAGTGACGCACACAGCTGGGAGACCAGGGGACACTAAAGAGTGACGCACACAGCTGGGAGACCAGGGGACACTAAAGAGTGACGCACACAGCTGGGAGACCAGGGGATACTAAAGAGTGACGCACACAGCTGGGAGACCAGGGGACACTAAAGAGTGACGCACACAGCTGGGAGACCAGGGGACACTAAAGAGTGACGCACACAGCTGGGAGACCAGGGGACACTAAAGAGTGACGCACACAGCTGGGAGACCAGGGGACACTAAAGAGTGACGCACACAGCTGGGAGACCAGGGGACACTAAAGAGTGACGCACACAGCTGGGAGACCAGGGGACACTAAAGAGTGACGCACACAGCTGGGAGACCAGGGGACACTAAAGAGTGACGCACACAGCTGGGAGACCAGGGGACACTAAAGAGTGACGCACACAGCTGGGAGACCAGGGGACACTAAAGAGTGACGCACACAGCTGGGAGACCAGGGGACACTAAACAGTGACGCACACAGCTGGGAGACCAGGGGACACTAAAGAGTGACGCACACAGCTGGGAGACCAGGGGACACTAAAGAGTGACGCACACAGCTGGGAGACCAGGGGACACTAAAGAGTGATGCACACAGCTGGAGACAAGGGGACACTAGAGAGTGACGCACACAGCTGGGAGACCAGGGGACACTAAAGAGTGACGCACACAGCTGGGAGACCAGGGGACACTAAAGAGTGACGCACACAGCTGGGAGACCAGGGGACACTAAAGAGTGACGCACACAGCTGGGAGACCAGGGGACACTAAAGAGTGACGCACACAGCTGGGAGACCAGGGGACACTAAAGAGTGACGCACACAGCTGGGAGACCAGGGGACACTAAAGAGTGACGCACACAGCTGGGAGACCAGGGGACACTAAAGAGTGACACACACAGCTGGGAGACCAGGGGACACTAAAGAGTGACGCACACAGCTGGGAGACCAGGGTTGCGGTCCCTTCACCTCCACCCACCTGTGTGAGTGCTGTTGGAGCAGAACACCTATCTGGTGGCTGATAGCCCCCCCTCCGCGCCGTTCGTTGAATGAGGCTGATCTCTATTTAATTAAGAAAGGAATTGAAAACACCGGAATCAAAAGTTATAACAATTATCTGAGTTTACTGGTAGGGAATAGAACACGTATACAAGTTATACAGAGTACTCCGGACTTCAGGTTTGTGATGCGGTTTACAGGTAGACAGACCAGCCTTCAGGAAACGAGAAGTACAGACTTCAGGTTTGGGATGCGGTTTACACGTCTCTAGACCAGCCTTCAGCAAACCAGAAGCATTTTACATTCAAAAACAACAGTATTCATATTCATATTTTGGGGCGGAGATGTGTTGACTTTTCCCTTCCCCTTTTACTCCAAAGCGAATTAGAGAGTCCGTGGGGAGGAGCTGTGTGAGCTGCTCACATCCCCCAGGTGTTTTTACTGGTTGGATTCACTTCTGGTCGGGTTCAATACAGCGAATCAGAGTTCTGACCAGAACGTGAGATTCTAAGGTTTCACAAGGCCAAAGTCAATCTTATCTCTGCCCCGATATCCACTCCCTTACTTTCCCATGGGATTTTTCACATAAACTATTCTTTCATACAATTAAACCTTGTGCACAAATATAATGATGCCCATAAGAACCTTGAAAAGAATATGTGTGAGCTCTCTGGTGAAAAGGAGCTGTGTGTGTGTGAAACAGGATCTCTGGGTTAGTGAGTTGTAAGTGAGAATATCATTTCTATATATGTGATTACTTAAAACAGTTCAAACAATACATGTTCACTAAAATACAATTCAAAATAATACATGTTTACTTCAATACAGTTTAGAATCATATATTTTTACTTCAGTGCTCATTCCCTTCACCTCCACCTACCTGTGAGAGTGCTCATTCCCTTCACCTCCACCTACCTGTGTGAGTGCAGGTTTTCCGCATTGACTCTGATCAAAGCCAGTGCCGGTGAAGGCTGCAGCCAGAGGATGATCTGCGTTTATTCCTGCGAGCATCAAAGACTCATTGTTCCCACTAAAGTAGGGGTGAGTGTAAAAAGGAGGCAACAACGTTGACGTTCAGTGTGTTGCCGGGAGCATATAAGGATGTATCCACGATGTTGAAAATGTTAAAATGTTAAATATGTGTTGAGAACACGGCGTGTGAAAATATACGGGTGGTGCTGCAGCTAGATTTGCCTGTCCTCTGTAAGAAGGTGTCGGCGACTGACATGCGAGGAAGAACGGCTGTCCACAGGCTGATCCAACTTTAACAACTCTATTAACTTCCAAGGTAGTGAATTGAACATGCTTTTGTAATTGGGTGTGTGGTATATTTTCATGCACGCACACGCATGTTCCTCAACACACAAACTGAACAACACTCAATTGTCCGATCGCTACCAGTGTCCTTGCGATCTTGTTATAGCAACAAGTTACTGATGCAATATGGTTGAGACCATTCGGGCTTATTCCAGAGGGGTGCAAGGAATAGAAGTAGTGGGGGAGTTTTATACAATATGTTTAAAACATAAAGATAAAAAGGTTTTAAAAAGTTATTGT